ATGTTACAAACCAAACCACCTGAGCCATACCAAACCAAAAATATGTCACATTGTAGTAACCTATTACAAAAATATTATAGTGTAGAGTGTTCTTTCTAGAGAGATTTGGCAGAGGGTACACTTGTTGCAGCCGAAATATCAGAAGCAGAATTTGTACCAACAGCAGCAGTTGAAATATCAGAAGCAACATTTGTACCAACAGTTGATGGAAATAGTTCTTTCTTTGCCTTGGGTTCTATTTGGACAGATTGTTGATGTGGTTTTGAAGCAAGAGTTATGATTGAGGGTTCTGCATCATCATTGTTCACTGATGTGATGACATGTTGAAGCATTGCTTGTCCACGGAACTGATATTGGTGAGGCTTTAGTTGAATAATGTGATATTCTGGCACATTTAATTTTGGAAGGGCCTCATTTGAAACTTTTCCATCCTGCATAATATATGTAGAATATTTTTAAAATTGGGAAGAAAAATAGTGAATTTGAAGATGAAGCATGTTAATTTATTTGACTTGTGTTGTATGCTTCATTAGGTCAGTAGATGAAATTGAAAAGAACTTTTCTGCATGATCCTGGAATATTGTTGCCATTATTGAACCTGAATTATCTTTGAGTTCAACTTGGAATTTGACTCTGTTTGTTTGTAGTAAATTATATGTTAGTTTTATTAAACATAAAACATTAGTTATATTAAAAGGCGTAGGGTTAGTTTGTTGTTACCTCGGTTCTGCAATAACTTCCTTTTTTTTACAGTGGAAACAGTCGAAAACAGTTTGATATTTTGCATTTATGGATTTGTAGCAATTGTTGCAGCTCATGTACCAAAAAGATTGATCAAGTGAGGTGATGGACATAGTTGCTTTGACCCAATACATTTTCTAGTAACAGGTGATTAGGAATGGTTACTAATGATATATTTAAGATGCTTATAGAGAAGAATAATATGTATATGAAGCTTACCGCATTTGGAGAAGATGGAATGTTGCTGATGGAAATGATTTTATCTACTTTAGGACTTGGAGTTGTGATGTTTCGAACATGAGTTTCAAGTGGAGAAGGTAAAGTTCTAAGACTTCTTCATTTTGGATGCACCTGCATCAATTTATTTTGATATTAGTGTTTGTAAGAAATTATTATTTGAGTTAGAGTATTTGAATTAGATGGTACCAATTGTGAAGTTGGTGTGCAGCTTTGAAGTTGGGGTTGAGCACAAAAGCTGATGTTGGTTTTGTTGATAATGATTGTCCTGTAAAAAATAAATCAAAAAAAATGTGTTTTATATATTTTTAATATCTAGTATAATGTGGTAAGATTATAATTACCGCAAAATGATGAGACTTTAAGCCTGACTGCAATTAGAGTTGGGAATGATTGAGCAATGGCTTGCAATATCTCTCCTTCATTAGTGACAATCTGACCCCACAAAGTTAAAACTATTGGCATTAACCTGCTACAATTAAGAGAATTTGTTAGTATTGAAATCAAGTTATACTAAATACAAGTAGACAAAATACTTACTCTTCATTAATGAGTACAATTTCTTGTGCAGTTGTGGTTCCATTTTTTGTTGTGATTGTTTTTGGTGGCTTAATTTGAACAACTGCTGCAAGAATATCTGTTATAGATACAAAAACAATAAGAGTATCTAATGAAAAAGTAAGTTGATAATTATTTATGTTGATCTAAGAAAATTACATATGGATGATGTTTCATTGCCAAGATGGTCAGAGAATTCATTGAATGGTACGAAGTGATATGTTGGGGCATTGTTATCTTCATTATTGTTTTCAACATCTCGAATAAGTGTACTGGCCGTGATTGTCCATTGCCATTGCCATGATTGCGGTGTGATACGGTATTTTTCTTGTAGCAACTTCACAGCAGCATTTGAGACATAGTATGAGTTAAAAACTTTGAAGGTATCTTGGAACTGTTCTATTTGATCTTCATAAAGTATAGCTTGAACTTGTGTACCCTATACAAGTGGTATGTATGACAGAAGTTAATGAGGCAGTGGATTATGTAATTATGAATTAAATGAGAATTGTTATTGTTAAGAACCTAAAAAATGAATATGGTATATATTTTAAAATAAGAATTTCAAAGTGTAACCTCTGCATCAGCCAAAATGAGCCTTTGATATCTTGTTGAGCCTGTTTTTGGGATTCGTGGATTCCACTTTTCCAAAACACGAATCTTTGCTGTCCATTGTTTAGTTGTACTAGTTATTTTTTTGATAGGTGTTATTTCTTCATTCATCCTACAAAATTTGTTGTAAGAAACAATTTAACAAGAATTTAATACAAGGATAATAGATAATTATAATAAATACAAATAAAATTAAAATTACATTACATACGAGGGAATTTATCAAAAATTTACAACAAAAAAATGAATTATATACAGCCTGCAAGTGTTAGTAGTTCTTCATAAACAACATTTTTTGTGGTATTGTTATCCAAAGCATGTTGATTTGTTGGTGGAATGAGAACTTTAACATCTGCAGCAGTTGTAGCTCGTGATGGAGCAACATAAAGTTGTCCATGGGAGAATACTGGCTCTCGTAGGTAAAGACCTACTTTTTGTAATGTTTGGCCTTGTGCTTTATTTATTGTCATGGCAAAACATAACTTTACTGGGAATTGTGTTCTAGTAAACTGAACTGGGTATTTTTGATGATCTGAGGGTTGCAATGGTATTCGTGGTATGAAAACCATTTGTCCTTTCCGATCCCCAACAGCAATTTCAGCACAAATGATGAAATCTTTAAGATCTCGACAAATAAGTCGCGTTCTATTGCACAAGCCTATTGAAGGATCTATGTTTCTTAAAGTCATGATCGGACTATTGATTTTCAATTCTAAATGATGAGGTGGGAGACCATTTGGTTCAAGAGAATTCAAGAAGTCTTCATACTGTCCTTGATCATTTGGATCGATTGTCTTGTCGATGCTTGTATATAATCTACCTTTTGTTGGGAATTGTTTGATCAACAAAGCATTTATTTCTTGTACACAATCATTTTTTGGAGTGAGCACAACAGAATTAATCATTGAAATTGGATCTTTTGAGTAGTTCTTGAGATTTGGAAAGACAGTTTGAATCAAGTCTTTGATAGAATTTTCAGCATTTGAAAAATTGTTAGAAATTATCATAGATGCTGGTATTTTGACTTTGTTTTGATCATTGACTGATTCAGATCCATTGCCAATGCGTAATAAGTAATTGCTGAAGGAAGGATCATGCCTTGCTCGCATATTTTCAGTCAACTTTATTTTCTCAATAGATTTCCATAATTCTGAATTGACCAAGCTAGCATCAATTGAATCATATTTTGTTCCTTTAGGAATGACTGGTGGTATTTGTCGAAAATCACCACCCAAAACTACAACTTTGCATCCAAAGAGTAACTCTGACTCATTGATATCCTTCAGTATATCATTCAATGCCTCAATGTTTTGTCTCTTGGCCATGGGTGCCTCATCCCAAATGATTAGTTTTGCAGTTCTCAAAAGATTTGCAAGCCCAGTTTGTTTACCTATGTTACAAGATTTATATGTATCAACATCTATAGATATTTTGAAATGAGAATGGGCCGTGCGGCCTCCTAGGAGAATAGAGGCTGCTACTCCAGATGTTGTTGTTGCAAGAGCAATGTAATTCTTGGATCTAATTGCTGCCAATAATGCCTTGTATAAAAAGGTTTTACCAGTGCCCCCAGGACCATCTATGAAAAAACACCCTTGCTTTTCCTGAGAAGACCCTATTTAAGATTTTTTCAAATGCTGCTTTTTGTTCCGAGGATAATAGAGAAATAGATTGGTAATCAGCTTCAGAAACAACATATTCATTTCTTCTTCAATTTCGCACAGGTATCTTGATTATCAGATGAGAGCACGTTGTTAGAGCAAATATTGAAATCTTTGATATTTTTGCCCATTGATTGAAGAGTTGAATTTATGCTTTGTAGAACTTTTTTGAAAATTTCTTGTTTTGAAAGATTTGTTGTTTTGGCATAATCCTCTGCCATGTAGTCTTTGAATTTTTCCCACAACTACTTTGGATTATTAGGAACACAATGAATGAGAATGGTTGCAAACAATCTTCTTAGAGAGTAAGGCATTTGGTAAGAGATTGCTTCTTCCAAGCATTGTTCAAGATTGTTGTTTGATTGTAAGAGACCATGGAGAAGGGCAGCTTCTCGAAAAGTTTTTGTTGTTCTTCCATTTATGGTTCTCAAGGATTCAAATGATGTAGGCCCTCTGATGTTGTTTAGAAGTAACCTAAGGTAATATCTTTCACCTTGTGCAGGATGTGCTGTGACAATGCGCCCAATAACATTGCCCTTTTTTCGCTCAGTCCACATTCGATCTTGTTGCCACCAAACAAAATGTTCAGGGAATTCCTTATATAAATATTTTGCAAGCTTTGCCTTTTTATTTGACGTGTTCATCAAAAAGAATTCAGTTAACATTGTTTTCGAACGGATGGGATCATTTAACACAGAATTTAGGTCATCTGAAGGATTGAAAGTAACAAATTGTTGGTGCTCAAGGTGGATTTGAAGATGAATTACTGATGGGTATATGTCATTCAAAGAGAATGCATAAATTCTCCACATTGCCTCTGGAGGTGAAATCTATCTTGCTGACTGAAATTGTTGGATTTCATCTATGATTTCTGATTGATTTTCTTGAACAATATGGAATGCAATTTTATTATGGCCTTCGTAAATATACTTGTACAAATATTTGACAGCTTTGATTGTTGAACAAATTTCCATATTAATGTAGCAATCATATTTGGCAAGAAGATATGGATTGTACGAAACTACCCAACGGTTGTCCAAAATTTTCCCTCTGATTTTCACTTGATTACCATCAGCACGACGCTTGTATATTGGGCATGAGTCTTTGGAAGATCTTGTTATAGGTTCAAAACTTTTGGGATAATGATTTTTGCATTTCCCATTCTTCATGCAAATGTTGTTTGGATTCATTTCACCACAAGGTCCATGCATTATGTGTTTGACCACCATAGAAAACAAATGAAGATGTTTTTTTTTTATCAGGAAGTTCAGCAGATACGATTGAATCATAAGTATCAGGAGATAAAGGCTTTTGTCCAGGTGCTAGAATTAATAATAGATGCATATGTGGAAGACCTCTCTTTTGAAATTCAATGACATAGACATATGCAATGACTTTCCCAAAGATTTGATGTTTTATGATGTCATCCTTCAGTTGTTCCATTTTTGCTCTAAAAACACGAGAGGTTAAATCTGGTCTATTTTGAGCTTCCTCATTAGGTCCTAACTCAGCTTTAATCTCTGGCCATGTTGGATTACAAGTCATTGTAAGAAAGATATCAGGTTTGCCAAATCGCTGGACCAAAGCCATTGCATCAACATATCGACGTCTAAGATCTCTTGGATTACTTATGAATGACGGTGGTAGGATAACCCTGTGACCAATCTTTGAACCTCTACCTTCACTTGTTGTGACACTGTCTATGATTCCTTGATAGAAATCAACCCTAATTTCTCTTTGTTTTTTTCGAAAGAACTGAAGTCTAGATGTTTCAATCTTGACATACATATCAACACAATACTGCTGAAAGAGACGACCAGAGCGGAGTAAGATTGAAGAATCATTGGGTCGTATTTGAAGCTTGTAGCAGTAGTATTCACGACAAGAAATGGTAGTTTTCTTATTCTTTTGTTTCTGAAACACTGAAATAATTTTTTTCTAGTTAGGAGTAAAAAAAATTTAATACTATTTAATTGATAAGGAGAGGATCTATTTACCTTGGGCTTCTTTTATGAGAAGGTCTGAAGCAGTAGGAGCATGATGAACACTCAGAATAGATTGTTGATGGCATGCGATTTTTGTTTGGTTTTTGTCAACTCTATCAATACCATAATGCCATCCAGATTCACCATATGGAAATAACAATGGATATTGTAATGGGTCATAACATCCAAAATACCATTGAACTTTTTCACTATGACTAGAAATTTGATGAACAACAATATCTCTTGAGATTTCTTTGGTTAAGACATCAGTTTCAGACCAAATTGCTGCGACTTGTGAGGCTGAAGGTTGATTGTAGACTCTCTGATCTAACGATACGTCAGATTTAATAATAATTTGTACAGAGTTCAAATGATCTATGTGTTCTAATCTCCTGAAGAAGATTGAATATGGATTTAGATGTGAAATATTTATGAGCCTTTCAAGAATAACGGGATTTAGCTTTTCTGAAGATTTCATTCTATTTTGGATTTCATGATCAGTGTCATAAAAGTAGAGCTGTAGATGACTAAGATTTTCATCAGAAGATGTAAGCTCATTAATGAAGTGATAAACTTGACCTTGTATCCTGAATGTATAGATCCCTTTATTTCTCCGACACAGTTCCTTGTCATATTTGACTCCAAAAGATGTGAAAGCAAAGCAATTGTTATATGTTTGAACATAGGTACGAAATTCTTTTGCTTCCTCAGAGTTAGATGTATATAACCAATCAAGTTCTAGAGGACAGCTACTGGAAGCCAAAGAGACTTGTCTAGCCATACAACAAAAGCTATTAGGCTCAAGGTAAAACTTTTTCGCACCACAGAAGTTGCAAGGTCTTTGTAGTGGTAAGATAGCAGGTTGAGTTGGAATGCCGTCTGTTTTTTTGTTAGAAGCCTTCCATATTCGCGAACTACAATTTTCTATGAAGTGGAAGATATAATTTTGTTATTTAGAAAGTTAAGCAAAGAAATTAATTTGTAAAGAATTTAAATTCAGAATCAACCTGCAGCAGGTTTTGAGCGATGATTTGTTCCGGAAGTGGAACCTATGAAAATTAATTTGTGTTAATGTTAGATTTGTTGCTATAATTCTATTAGATAATTTATTTAAAGGAATAAGATTCAAACCTTTTTCATAAATACCGAAATAACTTATGTGGGATCCCTCTGTTGTCATGACATGTAACAAAGCCGGATTGAACAGTTGAAACATGATTTCCTAATAAAAATAAGAAGAAAAAGAAAGAAACTAAATGAAATGTTTATCATATGATTTTAGAATTACTATGTTATTATGTAATCACGTTCAATATTTTTTCTTATCAGCTACCTATACGCAATTGTTGCTGATTTGAGTTGCTCCCTTGAATCAATAAATCTCTATTTTTTGTTGATGATGTGCGTTTCCTTTTTTTTTATCTTGACAGACGTCTATGGAATGTACCAGTAATTAATTTGGCAAATATGTTAGATTTACAAGAGATGAAATTTTTAAGCTAAGATTAGTAGTAGGATAACTAATCTTGATTTAAATCTAATGTTGATTTAAAGGAAAAATCAATACAAACAGAGTTTTCAGCCTGTGAAAGTAGATATTGTTTCTTTTTAGCATATGCCTCTCGCAGTCTTCTATTTTTTTCAAGTCTTTGTTTTTCTGTAAGCAGAGGAATAAAGTATATATGTAAAAGGTTAATATTTTAATGTTCTTTTCTTTTATATAAGTTATGGGTAAATATGTATACAACGAATGTTTGAACAGAAGTAAAAAGTTTTAAAGTAAATTGTTTTGTACTTTTAACCAAAGATTGATCTGCATCTTCCTGGTCAGCACATAATCTTCGTTTTTGCATTTTTATGTTGCACAACTACATACTAAAACTACATAAAAGAAGTTTATTTTTGTATTAGTAGAACGAATGAATTGTATCGAGCTATGTCATATGCTTAACAATACTATTTATGTGGAAAAACATTAAATGGTACTGATTGACATATGTATATCATAATATTCTAAAGATAAATAAATTAAAGAATGATAATTATTTGGAATATAACATGCAAAAAAATTATGAAAGGAACAAATTTTTAATTGTAGCTAAACAGTTAAAGCAAAGAGAACCTGGCAAAGCTCAGTTAACTTGGTAGAAGAGTGTGGAATTGTGACTACTGCAGATAGAAAAAGAAAGGTAGTTTAGAAATTGAAAATAGCCAAATGGTTTGGATTGGACAGAAATCAAAAGATTGATATTTAAATTAAAGAATTTTTTTTTTTGTTATAACGCTCAAATAGTGGATATTTTTTTTAATTGTCCTTTATAATTATTAATAATGCTGTAAAAATGAAATTTTCAATTTTAAAGAAAAGCAAAACCCATATTTTAGCAAACAACAGTTATGGAAAAAAAAAAGTAACATTTTATTTTAAGGATTTGTAAGAGAAATTTATAGAAGTTTAATATGTGTATTTATGTATTTTTGATGATTTGAGGGTTGCAATGGTATTCATGGTATGAAAACCATTTGTCATTTCCGATCCCTAACAGCAATTTCAGCACAAATGATGAAATCTTTGAGATCTCGACAAATAAGTCGCGTTCCATTGCACAAGCCTATTGAAGGATCTATGTTTCTTAAAGTCATGATCGGACTATTGATTTTCAATTCTAAATGATGAGGTGGGAGACCATTTGGTTCAAGAGAATTCAAGAAGTCTTCATATTGTCCTTGATCATTTGGATCGATTGTCTTGTCGATGCTTGTATATAATCTACCTTTTGTTGGGAATTGTTTGATCAACAAAGCATTTATTTCTTGTACACAATCATTTTTTGGAGTGAGCACAACAGAATTAATCATTGAAATTGGATCTTTTGAGTAGTTCTTGAGATTTGGAAAATATGTAAATTTAATTTTTTAACAACACTAAAAAAGTTTAATTTATAAGGCCATAATTTATAATTTATTATTTTTAATTAAATTTAATTTATAATTTATAATTAAAATTTTTTATTTAATATATAATTTTAAATCAACAACACTAAAAAAATAATTTAATTTAATATGTAAATTTAATTTTTTAACAACACTAAAAAAATTTAATATATAAGGCCATAATTTATAATTTATTATTTTTAAATAAATTTAATTTATAATTTATAATTAAATTTTTTTATTTAATATATAATTTTAAATTAACAACACTAAAAAAATAATTTATAAATGTTCAAAAGACTATTTTATGATTTTCTAATTGTTTGCTAAGTAATAGCATAGAGAGTAAAATTGACATTTCACAAAATAATCCCATGGAATACCAATCCCATGGTTTCTATCCCATCTCCCTCCATGGGATAGGACAGTCCCATATTTGTGAGACTAATAGTCCGGGGGAACTATTAGTCCGAAGGAAAAAAAATGAAACAAACAATGGACTATTAGTTTGGTGGCACTAATAGTCCAATCCCACCCCCTAATCCTTCAAAACAAACACACCCTTAGTATATATTACAAATGTGATTGAAATATAAATTCATAAAGAAAAATCAAATATTTAAATATTAAAAAATTTATGCCAAAATTTTTTTTTTGAGATGTAAACAATTGAATAAAATGTATATTTGAATAATTTATTATTGTTTATAACTTAAAATTTGAACATCTAATTTTTATTGAGAAATTTATATCTAAACACCATTTATGATGTTTATTCAAAATTTGTATGGTGTGTAAATAAAATTCCCTAAGTGGAAATGATTAATTTGTGAATTGATTTGACATTTATTTTAATGGAAAAATCAGTAATAAGAGGAGTATATTTCACTTGGATCGCAAAATTATAAAGATTATCTTTCTACAAAAATAAATAAAGGGATAAAATAGTGAAGGGTTTTGATAAGTATGAGATTTCTCTAAAAATATAATGGTAAAAAAAATCAAATAATAATTTCAAAGAGTCAAACATTTTAAGTGGAGTTGATTAATTCATAAATTGATTTGACACGTTTAATGGAAAACCCAGCAGCAAAACTGCTATATTTCACCTGTGGCTACCATGAAAAGCATCTGACATATTAAAAAAATTAATGATTAATGTCCATTTATTGATTGAACACTAAATGGACAATGCAACATGATAAATACTATATTTTTATTTAATATATAAAGATAAATATTGTGGTTTATACAAATGGTAATGTATATATAAACAACAATTAAAAATAATTTGGTTGCATTTTGTTAATATAAGTATTAACATTTAATTTAATGCATAAATTTAATTAATTGTTTTCTTGGGGTATATATTTGACTAAAATTTATCTTATTTATTTGCTTTTGGATATTTTATATTTTTTAAACTAAAATAGTCAAATAGCAAGGTTTAATTTAATGTATACTCTCATAAATATTATAAAACATCCTGGTTCAAAAGACAAGATTAGAACTTCATTTTATAAATAAAGATTATATATTTGGTACAAATTAGCGATGGTATAGCAACAACTCACTGCTCAAACCTTCGGAAAAAAACATAGTATAGCCAAAATGGGACAATATGACATGCAAATCAATAGGAATTTTAATAATATATTAATCTAAGAAAAAAAAATTAATTAAGCATATTAAATCTAGAAGGAAAATATATATGCATTAAACTTAGCACAGGGTATGAGCACCTTAATAAAAGGTAACACTGTTCTTGAAAAAGTTTAAATGCAATTGAAATAGGAGAGTATTAGAAAAAGAAAAAAACATAAATACAGAGAGTAGAAGAAAAATAAAGAATGCATAAAAAAAAGTAGTACAACTTTTTACATGTGCATAAATACAAAAGCCAACAACTATAAGTACTTAAAATATTTGAAAATTATGTTTGGATCTTTATAACAAGCACACTGAACAACATGCAATATATATCTATATATAAAGAATTACATAATACAAAAATCTAAGACAAAACTAAGATGAGGCACTACTTTCATCATAACGCAACTCAAATTCAGAACCATCATATCTCTTTATAAATTCTTCTTTTTTTTTAGCAATATCTTCTGAGATCTTTTTTTCATATTGAATATGTAGCTCTAGCTTTGGGTATTCGGTGAGTAGAGCCGGCAAAGTTCCAGTTGATGCCTTGTTATAATAGATCTCCTCCCTCTTAAACCGTCGAAAGAACTTCTCGATTTCTTGTTTTAACTAAACGAATCATTGATAGGTTCACTTGATATAGATGGCTTGGAAATCTCAGAACAATCGGGATTAAGGGCAACACAACAAGTTGTTGATTGATTAGTTGATGGAGAAAATGCAGCCTTTTGCTTGCTATTGCCTCCAGTAAGAGGCCATGAATTGTCACGACCCCATCCCGCCCCTAGTAGAATGGTGCCATGATGGCCAGTAATCCGAGATTTACCGAAGGCCAACTTTCTAAATTCACACACAAACAGAGTATTACATATGGGGCTAACATGTGCGGAAGCAATATATACAAATTTAATTAGTGCATAAGAGTTGTGCATAAGTTCAATGGAATGGCATACATTCGTATATAGCTTTAATACAACAAAATGAAGTACAAAAATACATCTTGACCAAAAGGCTTCTCAGCTATCAAATACAAAATACAATAAAATACAACTAAGAAGCATAATCTTCAAGACGCGGCAAAAGTGCATAATCCAAAACAAGTAGCAAGTACATCTAGGCGTCACCGCCGTCCTGCTCGTCACCTACATATATATAGAGAGGGGTGAGCTTGGATACTCAGTGAATGGTATAAATAATAAAGGGGTTTACATGAATGATATCCGAAGTCTTTATTAAATCAAGGCACATCACATCTTGTACAAAATCCAAGGGCAAATCAAGTTTATCTAACAAATCTTTCAAGTCTTAACAATTAAAGTCTTTCAAGGCTTTCAAGTTCCAAGGGGTGACATTAACAAAGGTTGTGCTACAAATGCTTATAGTCCCCTAGCACGTACGGACTTTCGAGATTGTGCTACAAATGCTTATAGTCCCCCAGCACGTACGGACTTTCGAGATTGTGCTACAAATGCTTATAGTCCCCCAACACGTACAGACTTTCGAGATTGTGCTACAAATGCTTATAGTCCCCTAGTACGTACGGACTTTTAAGATTGTCATTCAAAACAAGGCTAATACTTGATATACAAAATAGGGATCATCATTCATGCTTCACAAAATACTTTTCCAAAACAAGCAAGGCAAAACTTTATCAAAACTTAATAACATAACTTTATTAAAATACCACTCACATAGCTCTTCAGACGTCGTGGTCAAGGCAAGTCCAAGTCCTACAAACACATGGCAAAGTCTGTTGAATGCACTTTCAAACAAGTTCACATGCATACAGATGATCTCGGCATCCTTCAAAACCAAGCTAAGTCAAAACAAAACACTGTTTCTCATCTCGGGAAAACATGCTGGGCGACTACCAGGTCTAGGCTGAGGTCCCACACCTCCTTGTCGAGGTGTTGCCTCGATGGCCACATTCGAGGAAATGAGGTCGGGAAAATCTGGGTTTCCCTTTTTGAAGAACATGCCGAACATGAAAAACATGAACATAAGGAAGATGAATGCAAGATCATAATTTGCTATTACAAAATCTGAGATTTTATTCTATGAATTCAAAAACATGGACCTGGGTACCCATATTCAAGGATCTTGCGAGAACAAACACAAAAACATGAATCTTAAGGCAAACTTTCGGATCAAACAAGACTTTTTCTTCAAAACACATGAACACTATCTTCTCTTTCTAAAACCAAACTTTAAATCGATGAATGGTTTGCAAATCAGATTCGATCATGCAATGCAGCTAGATGATCAATAAGAACAACAAGAGTAAATCAAGAATCTAACCTCAATACGCGAATCTAATGGTTTGATCTCAAGGAATCAAGCTCGAAAGCCCACTCTCTCACTCTAAAACTTCTTCTTCTTCTTATAGAGCTTCTCTCTCCTCCTAAACAAAGACATATAGCAAATGATACATCTCTAGGTCTGTTGGCTGACTTAACACTCAGCTGGGACACGTGGCACTACCGGGTTGGTTCTCCTCAAAAAGGTGGTGAGTGAAAAGACAAGACTATGACAAAGTGTGTTCAACAAGCAAGATGGCATGGGCACTCCGGCGGGTAATGATCTCGGCTAATAACAAGACATCGGCAAGTAGGGGAACAATGATCTCGGCTAGGAAGGACAACACTTGACTAAGCTGTGCCACACCTTGGCCTAGATGTGCCACACCTTGGTCTAGGTCACACCACTCCAGGACAAGATCACTTAGGTGCAAAGGTAACATCTCGGCCTAGATAATACACATCTCGGCCTTGGTGATGAACACCTTGGCCTAGATAATGAATCAGATTCGATCATGCAATGCAGCTAGATGATCAATAAGAACAACAAGAGTAAATCAAGAATCTAACCTCAATACGTGAATCTAATGGTTTGATCTCAAGGAATCAAGCTCGAAAGCCCACTCTCTCACTCTAAAACTTCTTCTTCTTCTTCTAGAGCTTCTCTCTCCTCCTAAACAAAGACATATAGCAAATGATTCATCTCTAGGTCTGTTGGCTGACTTAACACTCAGCTGGGACACATGGCACTACCGGGTTGGTTCTCCTCAAAAAGGTGGCTGGGTGAAAAGACAAGACTATGACAAAGTGTGTTCAACAAGCAAGATGGCATGGGCACTTCGGCGGGTAATGATCTCGGCTAATAACAAGACATCGGCAAGTAGGGGAACAATGATCTCGGCTAGGAAGAACAACACTTGACTAAGCTGTGCCACACCTTGGCCTAGATGTGCCACACCTTGGTCTAGGTCACACCTCTCCAGGACAAGATCACTTAGGTGCAAAGGTAACATCTCGGCCTAGATAATACACATCTCGGCCTTGGTGATGAACACCTCGGCGCAAGCATTATGATGCAATCCTAACATTTTTCTAAGGAAAATCCTATGCTCTTCAGTGGTTCCAAGGAAGTTCTAGACTAAAGATGACCTCGGCTAAACTCACACCAAGCAAGGTACAAAACATGTGAGAAGCACTTAAGCAAGACGAATCAAGGTTTGCAAAGATGCAACATATCAACACAAGATCATGTAATATATGCAAGCATGACTAGGGTAGAGTGAGGGTTGTTACATCCTACCCTCCTTAAAGAAGTTTGGTCCCCAAACTTGAGTTACCTCGATTCAAGAATAACTCCGGATATCGGACTTTCATTCCTTCTTCCATTTCCCGTGTAGCATCCCTGCCGTAATGCTCTTTCCATTCAATTTTCACCATCGGTATTGCTTTGTTTCTCAATTGTCTCACTTGTCTATCGATAATACGCATCGGTTTTTCTTCATAGCTAAAATCTTCGTCAACCACAATCCCAAAATGATCAATCACGTACAGTGGATCCTGAATATACTTCCTCAACATCGAGATATGAAACACATTATGAACTTGACTTAATCTCGGTGGCAAAGCAAGTCCGTAGGCAACCGGGTTAACTTTCTCGAGAACTTCAAAAGGCCCGACGTAACGGGGTGCCAATTTACCCTTCTTCCCAAATCTTGAAACTCCTTTCATCGGCGAGATCTTCAGGAATACATGATCCCCAACTTCAAACTCTAACTCTTTTCTTCTCTGGTCGGCATAACTCTTTTATCGACTCTGAGCAGTTCTAATTCTCTGTAAGATAAACTTGATATTTTCGGTTGTCCTTTGAACTAGATCAGGGCCGATCAAAGCTTTATCTCCTACTTCGGTCCAACATATCGGCGATCTGCACTTTCTTCCATACAAGGCTTCATACGGCGCCATGCCAATGCTAGCTTGATAGCTGTTGTTGTAAGCGAATTCTACTAATGGCAAATGCTCTTCCCAGCTTTCTTGGAAGTCCAATACACATAGTCTAAGCATATCTTCAAGTATTTGAATCGTTCTCTCTGTTTGGCCATCAGTCTGGGGATAAAAAGCCGTACTAAACCTCAATTCGGTCCCCAAAGCCCTTTGTAAACTCTGCCAAAATCTAGAAACAAACTTTGAATCTCGGTCTGACACAATGGACATCGGTACACCATGAAGTCTAACAATCTCATTCATATACAACACAACAAGTCAATCAGCATTAAACGAAGTTTTAACAGG